AAGGGAGGGAGAAAGAAAGAGCATAACCACGCTCCAGGTCGCGTTATCAAGGTGGCGTCAGGCCCCGTGGCTGTAGTGGAGAGTAAGCTCCGGTCGCGTAAGCTTGTAGGCGCTATTTCCGTGAGCGCCGGTTGCGTTTTTTCCGTGTGTGTAAGCCCCGGCTGCTGAAGCTGACGTGACCTGTCATCCTTGATGTCCTCCTCGACGTCGTCCTGGAGGTCGTCCTTGAGATCGCCCTAGACGTCGTCTTTGACGCCGTTTCAGACGTCACCCGTAAGGCCTTCCTAGAGGCCGTCATAGAAGCCGTTCTTGACGTCGTCCTCTAGGACGTTGTCCTAGACGCCGTCGTTTACGTCGTCGTGATGTATGTACGGTATATTACAACCATTCCATCACCGTAACCTTTCCTTTCCTAATTGTTTACACTAACGATTTTCGTGTAAAGCTATCGCATTTCATCGCCTTTGATCGAATAAACAAAGCTGTATTAATATTTTTCTAGATATTTCTCTGAAATAGTCTATTTTATTAGTACTAATGCGCTAGCAGTTGTACTTACATGACAGGGAAATCTGATGGCGTCCGTCTGTGGACAAAACAGTGGAAAAGGAAGCGCGCCGCGTAGAGAGGGGGGAAGTAGTCAAGGACAAAGGCGAGCGATAGGCAACGTCCCGGGGCTGAAGCCAATCCTTGCACGCAGCATTGAGGCGAGAGGGAGACGACGTCGCTGGGCGAAAGCCCATGCGCGCGTTCGGACTCACCCCAGGGCGAGTCCGAACTTGCCGGTGTGCGGGGTGGGTACGCTATTTTTTGCTACAAAATGGAGTGTGAACTAGGTTCTAGCGCCGTTCTAACTAGGCGGCAAAAGAAGTATTGCGAACGAAGGAGACGGGCTGCCGAAACCGGTCAACAGCGAAAGGAGCGTAAGAAGGCGGATACCTAACCGTGCAAGGCGGCCGAACGAGAATGTCCAAGGCCGGAAAAAAAATCAAAGGAAGATCCACAGGTGGGTCCTTACAAAATTCGTAACCATGACCTTTGGGAAACGCTAACACTGACCCTGTAACAAGGCCAAAAAGAATCACCAAAGAGAAAACAAAGGTGGGGGAAGACACGACTTAACGCCGTTTGAAATGTGAACAGAAAGGCGTAACTTATGAAAATTAAATTTTCCGTTAACATGATCAGAACTCGTATCGGGACCCCCGTTTTGGGTTTTAAACCTTCAAATAGACGCGAATTGTAATATTTAGTTACTCTTCTATTCATTTATTTATTCGTATACTTGTCTATTTATTTATTAGTCTGAAAAGTAAAGCAAAATGTTTTATAAAAGATAAAAAAGTGTGAAGGAAACTATTTAAAGCAAGAAAGACTTCCTAAACTTGAAGCACGTGTTGTCCTTGCAAAGGTTTGAGTGTCAACTGCCATCACTTCATACAGCGTGACCGGTTTCGCTCGGGAGTCTATGAAAGTTTTTGACAGCGCAATATTGTCCTTGAGGCAATCTGTGGACAAGTAGACGTTCATGAAGCCGGTCCCCGACATAAACGGCGGATCAACTTTTTGGGTATGTCTGCAATTGTCTTAAAGCCCCTCCGAGTGTTTTCTTTTTCCTCCGAGGGCGTCGTTTTTTTTTTGTTTTTTTTTTAATGACAAGCAGGAACATGACCCTTCGTTGTAATGTCAACATGTCTGGCTCTTTATGAGAGTTGTATTATGTAACCCAAGGTCACTATTATGCTATATTACGTCTGAAAAACTCACGGATTTGTTTTGCTTTCATAAAAGACTACATGACATTTGTTTCTGCGGGTTTATTTGCATCAAAATAAATCAATAGTACGTGGAAGAAGAAGTTTTTAGATTTATATCCCTCGCTATTCCGATTACGAAGTTTATGCGCCCTGGCAGTATGTTTGCTGAAGCCCATCAGTCTGTCGTTGTAGCAATGCATGATGGGTTTATTGTGATTTTTATCTAAGTGCAATCGCCGCAGTTTACCGCAATATGATAATACTGAACGCTGGGGAGATTAAACGGTTGATGGATTTATTAGGACATAAAGGTCTGCCGTTTCAAAAACTTTAGAGTGAGCGTAAAAATATGCGTGCAGTCCGGTTACCTGGATCAAACGATATAATATTTCTACGGCACAAAGGTAGAAGAGAAATTGCATTTAGATAGGATGAGTACTGAGATCGATGTTTGGACCATAATTTATGGCAAGTAGCGCTGCACTTTGTATATATTCAGGTCATTTATGTTTATAAATCAATATGTTTCGTTACTCAAGCCGGGCTATTATGTACCCTCTGAGAACGTCGTAGTTGTTTTCTAAACTACATGTCGTGCGTTGTTACTATAAAAATTTGTCTGAAATAAAACATGAAATACAGAATAAATCGGTTCTTGCACGCGTGAAATGGTTCTGCGTCTTTAGCGCTAAATATCGAACATGCTAGAGGCAACAAAACGAGCCTTTCGTGTATTGGAGCAGCTGAACGATATACAGAGTGTTTCAGCTATATTTTACCAAGACTAAAAAAGAGGTTGAGCGATATTGCGCGAGTTGAACCGACGCAGTATTCTTCACAGTCATATTGAGTCAGTCAATACACGAGAGTGGACCGGAATGTAAATGCAATTATCTTCTTGAGGCAGGGTGTCTGGTAGAGCAAGTTCCCTCCGCTAAGTGTGTTTTCCAGGAACTGCTCTCCATTATTGTAGCAGTCAGCGTCCTTGTGAACCACAGTGTATAGCTTCACTGGATTGTGTTTGCAGTCTCTTTGATAGCTGGTTTATTCGCTTCTTTTGCTTTCCAACACAGTCAGTGGCACCTTCTATTTGGCAGCCCAGGCACACTTGCGATTCACGACCATTTCCATATTTTTGAGGCATGATTATTTTATCATAGGAGTGAAGTAAGTCGTACAATGCTATAAGTGGCCATCTTGAAAATATAGAGTGCATATTTGATTTCACAAATACAGCGAAACACGCCGAAAAGTTCAGAAACAGAAATGGTGGGGAATGTTTGCAGATTGGAGCCACCACTTGTCAACTCAGGCAACAAAGACCGAATACAAAAACGTACTTCAATTAAATGTGTTTTTTTTTTCTGTAGAAGAACAAATTGCGACGATGATGGCTGTTGTACTACGTACGGTTCAAAATAGCACTTATATATGTAAAACACAAGCTTAAGAATAGAGTTCCTGTTTAAAACAAAGCGAAATGTCGATTTATGTTCAATTTCGTCCCGGGCGATGTCCGACCAGGCGCGCTAAGAGACTTGTCGCAAAACTCGTCAATCCATTTTCGATAACCGCCGTCAGACGATTGCTGAAATTGTAAAGTTCACTGGAGCGTCGTGAATTTCCTGTTAGATAGTTTTATTGGAATATTTAGACGTAAAACGTGTTGCAGCAAAATTCTTGTCTGGCATCGTTAGATTGGTTCGTCCACCAAGGCACTCCGCCTGTGCACACCACGCTCTTCCCTATTGGAAAAACGTACAAGAAACAAACCTGCTGCTTGTACAGTCCTGGTATGACACCACCATAATTTATTGTTATTATACATGCAGCTAGTTTGGTTTTGCGTTCTCCATAACTGGAGATACCGGCACCGCTATGGCTCCGGGTCTGTCTATACTGGCAGCCGGTTTGCTCGCCGATATGACTCGGTATGGCTGGTATGATTTTGCGTCCGATGACGTAGGCGACCGCCATCTTTCCAACGAAACGCCTATACCACAAGACCACCGGTATAACTAAACCATACATGCAGAAAGACGACCGCCATCTTCCACCAAAAACGTCCATCGTTTACCACCGGTATCGTTACATACATCATACATGTCGAAAAATAACATAAGCCGCGTTTACATGAATGCGACTGAGTCGCATTGAATCCAGTTGCCGCATTCAATATGCGGTCATGTAAACGGCATAATGCGCAAAGCGCATCGCATTAAAGTCGCTAGACAGAGGTGGATCGAGATGGCGAGTGCGCATTCATTCAGCCCATGTAAACGAAGATCGCATCGCATTTTGGAACGGGGAGGATTATCGGAAGGCGCTCGCTGCGGGAGCGAGTGAACAGCTGAGAACATGGTGGCGGCCAACCTCGTCGGCGGCGCGGAGAGCGGTCCCGCAATTTTTTTCCCGAGAACAAACGCAAGCTTTTATTGCGATCATAAGTAAGCGGAATTTAGCGGAGCTGCTCGGTGAGGGCGGCCCCGTCCAAACCTTTGCGAAGTACGACTTGCGCGTCCGAAGGGGTCACAAAGGCTTCGGTGCAAGCACGCATATGACACCGAGAGCTCCGATCACTGTAGAGCACTGCATGGTTGCGCAGAACGAGCAGCTCCTACCTCGCTGCCGTTCCTGGCTGCGCAAGAGCCTCTCGGACTCGGGGTCTGGTCGCGATCGGCGAGGTCTGGCGCGGCGAAACGTGGAGGCTTCCTCAAAGCGCGCACACACACGTCGCCTCTCGTTCAGAGTGGACCGGCGGCCCGGACTGGAGTCCTAAACGCCTTGGTTTTGATGCTTCTTCCGTCTCCCAACTTCTTCCACAGCACCGAAGACAGCGGGCGCGATCTTTACGTTCACTGAATGCGTCGAAAAGCCTCCACGTGCGATGCACCGGAAAACGTGGTGCGGCTGGTGCCGGAACGGAACTGACGGAACTGCATAACTTCGAGCTTTGAGTCAACGTGCACGGCAACAAACCGATCGTGACACTAAGCCGCGGATACCGCATCGCCGGTCGACAGGGGCAAATGGCCCGTTGCTCGTATCGTGGGCCGTGACTCGTACTCGGCCAACTCGGCGTCTTTTCGTGGCCCCTCGCGTCGTCGCAACCAGCCGCAAACATACCAGCCCGCGACCGTGGCCGATGTCGGAGAAAAGCGAAACCGAAACGTAAAGCTTCCGCCCAGTGGCTTCCGCTGCCGCGCCTTTTCTAACTTCCCGGCCAGTCCCGGTTTACACACTTCCGGTCGTCGCGGAGATGGCGACGCAGCCAGACGTAGCGGTTTTGGCGCTGGCTCCTTCTGCGTTTTACAGGACAGATGTTTTACGGTCCGTTTCTACTGCGTCTCTGGCTCTCAACTCGACGACGCCTCTCATGGTTCAACCAGGCGTGGTCAGCCGGGGTCAGCACAGCGCGGCCGGCTCAACTCGTCCGATCGCCGGACCGCAGGCGACTTCCGATTTCGGCCGTTAGGCCTAGGATCCGAAGGACTCTGTTTCCGTGAAGCGGTAAGCGAATCTCGTCCCGTTTTCGTTCTACTTTTAAATTACGTTAGGTGCGCTACAGTGTAAGCATGCGTGCCAAGTGTTCGTGACAATTTTGAACTAGAATAATTGTGCTTCATTGCGGTTTGTCATTTACGAAAAAGTAAATCGAGCAATGAACGAGGAGCCATGCTTGAAAACGATGTATGTACGATGTTAACTTCTACCTGGGCGGCTTAAAAAAAAGTCAAGACTGGTTACGGTTGGATGCGAGGCTGGTCCCAATGCAATGGTAACCACTTAGAGCACCTTTCTGAACAGCATGTAAGCAATATAGCGATCAACGAGACGAGCGACGACGAGAAGCTACGAGTGCCGGCGCCGAGCGACGAAGATTTCTCACTCTCGCTGCTTGCGCCGCTCGGTTCCTGGGCTTCTAGAAAACGTCGCTCATCACCTTGATCGCTCGCACCAATCGCTTTCATAATGTGTGTCTCGTCGCGCAGCTGACTACCGTGTTTATTCAAATATATGTCGACCTTTTTTTTTTCTTTTCTTTTATTTATTTATTTTTTTTTTTTTCGGAAATCGTGACTAAAGAATTTCGACCTACATTCGCGACCAAATTTTGCGACCGTACCGGAGGCATGAAGCTATCGAGTCACCGAGCCGGCGTTGCCGTAGAGCTGCGCCGCTTCTTGTTTCCAAAGGCTTTTGTTAAACAACCGAAAACAACAGCGGTGGCCGATGCCGCTATCGCGCGCACCTCTTGGGGCATTGGATTTCGCCATCGCACCTCTAGCGTTCCCCTTGCTGGGCAATGGGGAAGGAGAGGAACGCGATGCGCCATGCACTTTGTCCTCCATCCTCGCAAACGCGCACAAAAAAAGAAAAAAAAAAGATGTTACTTTTGTTAGTTGCTTGAGGCGGCTCGGCTCGCGTGTTGCTCATGGCGACACGGCGGCTTTGTTTGCGTCTTTGTAGTTTGTCTTTCGTCGCTTCGCACCTTCTTTCGTTTCTTGTCGTCATTTTACAACGGTGTCAGTGAAGTATTGTAGCGGATTTGCGAGGATGTCTACCAAGCTGTGAAGTGATGTAAATAAAGGTTTCTTTCTTTTGCCCAAAATTTCCCCTGTTCTTAAAAATAAAAAAAAAGTCGACCTATATTTGAATTTTTTTTTTTTATTCTCGGTGGGTCCAACAAATAGAGTTCGACCTATTTTCGAGTAAATACGGTAGCTTTAATTTTTATTTTGGGTTACGTCGGACGTAACTCGAATGCTTGACAGTTACGTTGGGCGTAACTTTAATTTTTATTTCGGGTTCCGTCGGACGTAATGTTAGACACTGCGTTACACTTAAGAAAAATAGGGGCTGATGGTTCATCATATAAACCAACCATTTGTGTTTAATTAAAGCGAATCACTGGCCTAAAAAAAATACTGCTGTCCTATAGGAATGTAGCGCTTCAGATAAATTTGTTAATTTTTGCTTTTAGTCTCTGCCCCACCAGATACAACATCTGGCCTAAAGCAGTGTTCCGGATCTCCTTCCAAGACCTCAGGCGGGTCGTCATTCAATCCAGGAGGCGGCGGCGTCTCATGGGCGTGTTGCTGGTGCTTCTTACTGGATGGTGCTACCGAGGGAAAAGTGGTCGTGCTTGGGAAAGGCAAGTATGGCCGCCGTAAGTATAGATATTGTTTTTACCTTTGCTCGAACCCACCTTTAAGAAATGCACAGTTCGCATGTGTGCATCTCTCAATGCTTCTACAGTCGGCTGTTAATATTTGGAGTGCTCCAACTCTGTCAGCGCTAGTTTCTCTAGATTATGCAAATGGGATGCAACACTAATCCACATATGCTCTCGCAACAAACAGTGCTCTGCTGAAGCACGCACTGTGGAATCTACTCTGGCTTTATAATGCAGCACAAAATAGTTGACGCCAAGTATAGCTACTTTTGTGACTCCGTTTTACCAAAAGCTCTGCCGAAATAAACTTGCCACCTTATAGGTAGTGCAAAAGAACCTCGCGTGCCTAACCTGGAGAAGGGCATTTTTTTCATAGGTCAATTTTTTCTTAAACCAATACCTTCAGCCTCCTTGAAATGTTAACATCATGTGACACTCAGAAGAACAGTAAACCCCTTAATGTTGGCGAACCTTTAATTTTCGCGGCGTTTAATTTTGCGGAATTCAGTGACTGCGATTATGTCATCTGTGACCGATTCGAGAAGAAATAGGGGTCACCAAGATAAGGGGGTTTTACTGTCCATCGGAGGAGAGAGGAAGTCACCTTTGTTTGTATGCAAGAGTAAAACCAACAACAACAATCATGGTGCCGACACTTTGTGAGCCAATCTGTGTCTATTGAATGATATCAATTTTGTTTTTGTTCGTTAAAAATTGTTGCCTGTCCACTGTGGGATGTCGTCTTCAACACGAGCAGTGGTTTTCCTCTGAAGCAGGCAGCATGGACGCGTGCCGCAGCACAACATAGTTTATTTGCAGGTGGTACCGCAGTTTGAAGGATGGTTCGCACAATATGGGGGAATCGCAATTCAATGTTCTACCTCGGGCGTAGACAAGATTTGCTCATTCTAAATCATTTTGCCTACAAATCGGGAACTTGCAACGAATGTACCCGCATGGTTGGAAGGGCCAGACAAGCCTTGCGAGCGCTTCGTTTTCTAGCCTCTCAGTCCTGAACCTACTCACGCACCACATGTGTAGATGTTCCGGTACGTGGGAGCACTTATTTGGAAAATGGTGAATGGCAACTGTTGTTATCTTTAAGGTGGACTGCATATTTGCAGTACTTTTCCTCACTTAAAAATATGTCTTACTAAAAATATGTAGTATAGCCGATGACAAAAAGTGAATGGCTGGGCGTCCTCCAGCACATGCTTGTGCTTTTCACCCCGCTTTAGACAGATGTGCTCGCTCCAGGCTCATCAGGCGCTGAAACGTCATCGAAGGTAGCAGACGGGCTGGAGGTGGAACAACGGAGACTTCTCCCTGCCTTTCTGATGGTGTCAGTGAGCATGTACTTCTATACTCTAACTTAGCTTAACCTGCACAGAGCTGAGTAGAATAGGCTTGGCAAGTGCCCTTATTGCATATGCATTTGTACAGCTGAGGCACTTTCTAAATCAAGAACATTGTGTACCTTACCTTCAAAAACACATCATTTTGGGGGTGCAAAAGGAATTCTAAGGCATATTTTTGTTTGTATTGTCCTATTACGCATCGACTCCTTCAACTTAATGCGGAGTCGACCCAGCCTCTTGAAAAATTTAATGCTTGCCAGGTAATTGTTTTGCATTTAGTTGATATATCAGTATTCAGTTAGGTATCCCAAGTCATTAGTCGTTGAGGTGGAGTCTCTCTGTAAGTCAGTCATGTTTAACAGTCATAGAAATGCTTGTCAAATAATGGCACTGTCGAGGACATGTATTCAGCTCGAACAATCGCTGGGCACAAGCTGGTCGTGTGGTTACAGGCAGCAAACATCCCGGTTGGAACGTCCTATTTGGCAATGTAGGTGCAGACTAAATGAGGGCCCCACTCATAAACGTCTATACTTTTAGTCTCTTTAAGCTGGACCACTTTTGAAACTACAAGCCTTTGCAGCAAAAACAGCATGACGCATGATTATAAGCTCGACGTACCATGGCGTCCAACTAGTAGGTCACATGGCTTGCTTTGTGCACTGAATTTGCAAGGATGGCTTGAAGCTTCTGTCGTGGTTAACTTTAAGCTGAGATAGTTTAAAATAATGCTCTCAGTTTTTAGTGTTGCCCGGCATGGTTAACAAGTTGGTGATATAGCGCTGCATTGAAAAGTCTGTGCATTCATGACTGTATCACCTTATGAATGCAAGCTACCTATTAAACTCTTCGTTTTTCAGAGAAATGAAATGCACTTTGCTTCCAATTGCACCCGCTTCTGTAACTTCATGGTATGAAGCACCTTATGGCTGCAAGCTCTGACCGATCTTGTTCTGTGGTCTGCACAGGCCCATATGAGGGAGTCACTCCGAGAGCCTCACCAGAGTTTCCTGCCCGTGGTCGTTCTAAATGTTTTTGTTGTAGGTATGCATCCTTTCTGTCTTTCCCTTAATTGTACTCAAACGTCTTCTTTTCATTGTCGCCGATTTGCCTCAAAATTGGTTAAGCACACAAATGCACGCTGTACAACTGTATTGTACATATTTTTTCCAAGGTAACTTTTCTTTGCCAAAGTTAGATTTTTTTATGAAGGTTAGTCTTTTTTGTTTTTATTTTCAAATTTATGTGAGTTTCCATGGGCAACACTAAAACATTATGCCAGAAGCAAGGACAAGTTCACTGCTCTAATTTGTTCTCAACTGATTGCAAGAAATTTCGTTAATGTCGTGAAACCTCCTTCCAGCGCTTGCTTTGCAGCATAAAAAAAAATTATACATAGGACATACTCTGTTTCTTAAACTGCTTGCTCATTCTGCGGGTCTGCCTGCCATAGATGTCGTGCTACTGGAGAGCAGGCGAATTTGATTGCTGGTTTTGCCATTGCTTTTTTTTTTTTTTTAGACGTTGTCTTAGTAGTTCTTGTAAATTTGGAGATTTTCCTAAAAAGCAAGCCGGGAAGAATATTTAGTTTAGTTAGGAAGCTGAAAATAATGATTTAGTACCCCTTTGTCAGTAAAATAGATACTGTATGCCGCTGTTAGTGTCAAGCCGAGATCCACGCTTTTTTGGCATTTTGCTCAGAGTGGTACCCATTCTTATTCGTTAGCCTCTTGGTGTGCCAACTAAACTCTTTGTATACAGACACCTGCCCTCTGCTGGTACACTCGACACTCGCTGAGCACGAGGGTAGGAAAATCTTTCCATTGCAGCAGAGCCATATATGGGGAGAGTCTGGCAGTCTATGATTTCGCTGCCGTAACATCTCCCTTCCGAGTGAGCTGATCAGCCTGCGGCACAGAGCAAGAGGCGTGAGCGCATGCGCGTGAACTCTAGGCTGCTCCCAGCTGAGCGGGGAGGGCCGCCATTTTCATTCATTCGCCCGGCATGGGATCGATATTCAAATTTCGGTTCTTTCCTTTTATTTGGCAGGCTCTGGCAATAAAATGATATAGTGTTATTCCTCGGTGGCTTAAAAACCCAAAGAAAGAAGTTCCTCCATGTTTGAACGCACTTTTATTTAGGCAAAAAAAATAAATAAGCCCGTAGCAGACGACACGTAGCCTCAACAGTGCTCCGTGCAGACAGCTTTGCGTCAAAATGGTGGTCGTCTCCTCTTTGTTTCTCTGCTGCCTTCTCTCTCCCTCCTTCGGCGTTCTCCTCCCTTTCCTCCTCTCCGGCGCCTCCGTTGCCACACCCGCTGGCTAAACTCTCCCACTATACGGCTTTGCATTGCAGTAGTAGTTTTATTTGTAGTCTTTAATGTTGAATGTGAATATTTGACAGAAGTCTCAGGTTGGGGCGAAAGGGGGTTAAATGAATGCATTTGATCATTCACCTAAATTCGGTACCCATCATTTTAATGCCTACGTAGCTTTGTCCTGGGGGTTGACTATGACTAAAATAAGAGGATCTATGTGCTGATCACGAAAGAATATGCTAGCCATTCTAATGTAGCTCTGCCAAGTACTTGATTGTGATTTGTTTTTATTTTCAGCTACTTGGGTGCCTCAAGATCTGGAGATCCTAGTGGCCACAAGCTTGGACTCAATCTTTTTCTGTGGTCTGGGCAGGACCATGGGGGAGGTAATCCCAGCAACAAGAGCATCGCAGTATCTCCCTGGCTGTGACTTTCGGTCTGCGTCACGACAGGGGAGTCCTCGTGCCACCAGGTGTTAGGTATGCCACTTGAAATAAGCATTTTTCTTACCTATTGATAGAACAGCAAAAGCACTACTAAGCCTAAAATGAAAAAAAACATATTCAAATCTTGGGTCGGATGAAATTCCAATTACAAAAAGGAGTCTGCAGACATGATTAACATGTGAACTTAAAGCCCGCGGATGTAGGTTCGACGGTGTCACAGAAATAACTTCCCGCAGATCGCCTTGCTCGTGCTATACCCAAACAAATTCTTAAAATAATCATTGTGTTTCTTTGGTGTCATCAATCTTATGTCCCTACCACACTCACCAGTCGGGACATGTGAAATATAAAAAAACAGGAACTTGCACATTGTCAGCTCTGCAAAGATTTATATAGTAAACAGAGCATAGCACGTTCAGCTTAAGAAAAAAATTCAGTGCAGGCCTATATTCATGGTTCACATATGTGTAATTGCTCTTTATAATGAAGTGAAAACTGCTTAAGTTGTGGCCCACTACAGGCTTTTTATTAGTGTTAAAAAGTGCGGTAGAAAATATGATTGCGCTTGGAAGACGGGGACATAGGAAGGACAGACACAACAGAGCGCTAGCTTTCAACTGATTTAATTCAAGAACCTCAGCGTAGAAACGGACTGTGTCACCGCACCACATCTCAACCAATCCGTGGCCCTGCCACGGACTGCAAGTACGCCAAATCCTTATCCGCCAAGTCAATTGACGCCACACTGACACAACTTGTGCCGGAACTATTTATAGTGTCAGCCTCCATAATCTCGCTAACAGTCATATCTTTGTGCCTCTCAAGAACAATAGACGAAACAAATAATGGTTTGCACCCGCAGTCATGACAGTGACACGACAGATCATGACTGCGAGTGCAAACCATTATTTGCTCAGTCTACTGTTCTTGCTAGGCACAAAGATATGACTGTTAGAGAGATTATGGAGGCTGATGCTATAAATAGTTCCGGCACGTGTTGTGTCAGTGTGGCGTCAATTGACTTGGCGGATAAGGAGTTGGCGTACTTGCGGTCCGTGGCAGGGCCACGGATTGGTTGAGATGTGGTGCGGTGACGCAGTGTGTTTCTACGCCGAGGTTCTTGAATTAAATCAGTTGAAAGTTAGCACTCTGTGGTGTCTGTCCTTCCTATGTCCCCGTCTTCAAAGCACAATCATGTTTTCTAACGTACCGTACCAACTTGCCCAACAATCAGCACTTGCTAAAAAGTGCTATTGTGTTTTAAGCAGCTCGCACCAAATATTTTCTTGAAATACATAGGTTCATGGAAATTATTATGTAGATGTTGGCAGACAGTCATGGTGAGGCCAATCTTTAATGCCAAGTGGTCCACTTATTCAGTTAATTGAGTTTGTAAATATTGTAGGTCGCAAATTAAATTTTTATGGTACGCAATGGGCACAATCATCCGTAATGACTAGCTCTACCTAGGAGAACTTCATACGTTTACTACGGCAAGATGGTTTCGAAAAACAAAGTATTTAGTTTATTCAACTCCTGCACTAACCTTGTCTTTAGAAACTTTTTATATTCTTTGTGATGCTGAGATAAGATTCTGGAAATAGTTTTTCTAGAACTACTCTAGATATTTCCAGTTCATCATTTTTCTCGCAAAGCATTCGAGAGAGCCAAACCCTGTAATGTACGGAGGGAACTCACAGAATGATGCGACTGACAGTTTGGAACATTCGGCACTGTAACAGTAATAATGACATGTCACTTATGTAATGTTCATTATCGCAGATCAAACTGCTTTTTCCGTCTACACTCATTTTCAGTAGACTCATTCAGCGAACTCCCACCTGAGACTGCAGCGCTGGGTTCTGCAAAGTAATTTGAATGAATATAGATGCAACAGGTTTCTTTGAGCGTGCGTCTAACACATATTCTTCATATTGAATCTGCTAACTGTATTCATGTCCATGTCCATAATTCCACATTCCAGCTTATTTTTATTTTGACATTTGAGTTTTCTTCAGTACTTTTCTCAACATCTGTGCTTGCTGAGCCGTACTCAAGTCCATACATCTTGTCTTTCGCTATTACATTAATATATAAAACTGTTGATGCCGAGTGAGAATTCAAGGTACCGAATCTGTCGTGCGAGCTAAATAAGAACCAATAAAAAGCTCTACAAAGGAATTTTTGTTAAAGGATGCTGTATGGGCATTAGAATAGCACATGCCATGCTAAAAAAAAATACAAATTCTTGTTAGGTATGCGAGGATGACAGTGCTGTGCTGTTTCTGATGTGTCACAAAAAAAAAAATCAGTGCCATACAGTGTTCCTTATGGAAGTACAAACTGTTGAATTCGAAGCCCAGAAGTTTTATTCAAGAATGTTCCTCAATACAAATGTATTTAGAGATCTGAGCCACTGACTCATACATGACTATGTGGCAAACATTAATTTTCATGTGGATTATAGTTTACAAGGTCTAGTCTGCATTGATTTATTGCATTCATGCTGAAACTGGGAGGGGTTCTCTGGGTATGAATAAAGAGATAAACATTTCTTGAAATCAAAACATTTGAGAACGGACAAAAGGAAGGATCTGAGAACGGAATCTTAGATTCTCTTCTTTTTCTTACAGTATCTCTAATGTTCACTTTATTTCACCTGATGCATTTAGTTTTTAGCGCAGCTCTTAGCACCCGTTTCCGCGTTTCGCGGCGTCGCTGTCGGCGTAACCACCCAACTAAACTTGGCAGGAAATTGAATTAATGTTGTGGTCATGTGACGTTAATATTTCCGCTAAGTCTAGCTGAGAAACTGAATTTTTTTATGGCTGACGTGACACGGTCATGCGACGTCATTTTCCCTGCTACTTTTAGCGGAAAAACTGCATTTGTGTTGAGGTCATGTGACATCAATTTCTGCGCTAAATTTAGTGGGAAACTTAACCAGCTAAATTTAGTGGGGAAATTTTCCCGCTAAATTCAGGGAAGTTTCCTGCTAAATGGGAGGGAGCAGCAGAAGAGGAGGAGGGGAGGGGGAGGAGGGGCATACCTTCCCATCCTCCTCTTCAAGATCTGTGCTCTAATTTCACGTTACAGAGAATTGTAAACGTCTCATATTTCATCTCATGTTTATTCAACTTTTATATTGCAGGTGCGCTCGCAGCACAAATCTGGGTTGTGCTGATCCTCTACGCACAAGTTAGGAACTCCTGAGTGGCAAGAGTGGGAGTTTGGTCTGACAGCTCAAGGGACACCATTGTTCAGTATTGAATTTTTAATAATCTTCTTTTAAGCAAAGTTAAGCTTTGCTGCATGCAGTTCTTGTAAAAATAAATACCTGCAACCAAATTTACCAGGTCACGACATTTCGCCTCTGCTCTTAGTGGTCCTGGTGAGCCTCGGATAAGAGCTTACTGGTGTGCAAACACCATGCTTGTTTGAAACCACTCACTGATGTAGAGACTCGCTGACATCCAGCATTCCAATGAAACGCTGGATGTCCACAAGTCTTTCTTGAACAATGCAAGCGGGGAAGGAACCATACAATCGTATCGTATTGGGGGACATTCTACAGAGTGTTTTTTCTATGTTTTACAGATTTTTTTTTAAAAAAGCCGTAAAAGCTACATTTACGCGGTCTGTGCACGTGAGTTATATGGCCAGGGCGGCATAGTATAAAAGGCTAATTTGTAATGATCCGTCGGCTTATTACAGAGATGTGCCAGACTTCTTTCAGAAAACTAGATGGAGGTTCATTCTAGCGTAGTTTTATCCCGCGAATCTGAATATCCCGTTCGTTTTCCTCAAAGATATAACTAAACGTCAGAAAACACACAAAAACATCCTACCAACAGTGACATCGTAAGAAGACCTTTCGGCCGCCAAGCGTGTGTCGCTTAAGGGCCGCTCGTCCAATCGCAAGTTTTCTAGGTATATTCTCCGGCATTGGCACCAGTTGTGACACATTTTTCTGCCCTTTTAAAAAATAGCATGTGCGTGCATAGCTTTGATAGGCGCTGAAGATGCGTGAACAAAGATTTTCAAAGCTGCTCTTGTGACGTCGCTCTCTAGGGAAGTGCTTTCACAGCGCTTTAAAAATGACTCTATGCAGCCTCAATTAATTAAATTAGCAAATAATTTTGATATTTGAGATTCTAGAGGTCAAATGAAGAAGATTTAAAAGTGTTTTCTCAAATACAAAACCGCTTCAGCCTCTCCTAGTATGTTCCTGAAATTTTTAATCAGTAAAAATAGACCCATGGTTCCAATTAGAAACTTGCTAAGCATCATCAAAACACACTAAATCAATTTTCTTTGTAAAGATATAAGACAAGAGTAGCATTTTATGGCGTTCTAAAAAAAATGGTCAATTTGGACGCGTTTCCAGACTTCGGTTTCTTACCAGAGCGCATCTTTGCACCTGCGGTCCAGCTGCCCAGTGGCCACAGTGCGAAGCCGCCCCCTCGCCTCCCTCGTAAGATGAAGGGAAGCAAGGCGCACGTGTGTTGCGTGTCTAAGCCCCTGGGGAACAGGACCGTGGGCGCAGAGATGAGCTCTGATAAGAAACTGAAACCTAGAAACTCATCCAAATAAAGCTTTTTACAGAACGCATAAAACGCTACCCCTGCATTATATCCTTCTAAAAAAACTTGATTTTGTGGTTTTCAATGACTCAGCAAGTTTCTAATTGAAACCATATTTTCATTTTCGCTAATTAAAAAGTTGATTAACAAATTGTATTTAATTATCTGACTGATCGTTACGACTAGGTCCCTATACTACGTACGCCTGGCCGTATAACTCGCCTGCACAAACCGCATTAATTTAGCTTTCACGACCTTTCTAAACATATATGTAAAGCTTAAAACTAAATCGCCCTGTACAACAGTGAAAAGGCGAAACCAACATGCTGGAGCCATATGGCTCCACCATGCTGGTATCGCCTTTTTGCTGGTATAGGATGTCCCATATTACGTTATGCATGTATGGTTCCGTCCACCTCCATGGTTCCGCCTTAATCCACTACGCTGGTATAGGATGTCCCATAATACGACACGCTTGTATGGTTCCGCCCACCTGTATGGTTCCGCCTTATTCCACTATACTGGAGCCGCCTTTTTCGCTTGTATAGGATGTCCCATATTACGGTTACGCTTGTATGAGCCTTTTCCGTCATCTTTCCATCATCGATATTTTCCAACAGGGTTTTCAGCAATTTTTGTTCAAAAACTTTATGAACCCGACAATCCTCCTTTGTTCAGCCGACCTGGCCCCGTTTAATTTTAATTTCCCTTGGACGGTTATATTTTTTTATAGGTATGCATTTTTATTATGTTTCCTTCGCAACAATGGCGAGCGGAAACAAAAAATTGGCAGTAGCACCGCAAGACAGAAATTTCCACGCGTATAAAGGCTGCTTTCAGAATTGCAGAAAGCATATCGTATGAGACGGAAAAAATTTTAAAGATAAAAAAAAATTGCATGAGCAAATATAAATCCGCAGACTTGTAACAATCAATTCCGTTTAAATGTCGGGCCCCTTTTGTAATTTTGAGATTTACGAGAGAACCCTCTAATACAAACGTTCTAGAACGCATTGAGAAAGATCATCTCTTATGGTGTCATGGAAGTAGCCTTCGTGTGCAAAGTTTTAGAGCTATAACGAAACGCTCGAGATCTAAGCAAATTTACTTGAGTGCTAGATAAAAAGCTGCGTTGTTATTGCCCTGAGCCAACCGTTTAGAGCCGTACACTGTCTCTACCCCAGTCTCTGTGGGAAACACCTCTTATTCTCAGAAAACTCGAAGCGCCTTCCTTTTCCATAAAGCATCTTCCCCACGTGCACAATTCGCTGACAAGGACCAAATTATTCTACTGACGTTGCTTCGCGGATTTGCGCTTTTGCCAGGTCAGTGCCTGCTTTCGAAAAATAGTGACTCTCGAGGTTTAGCGCCGATCCCTGTTTAAGCTGAGAGCACGGATGTTGCCTACAATTGTTTCTCTTCCCATCTCACTCCCGAACGTACACGCTTCCGTTAGTTCAGAGTCACGTACCGAAAATGTCGCATAGCTTGTTGTCCAGCCAGTCGTTAGCTTTTTTAGCATTGTTTGACGTCTATATATTTTGTGTTAGAAAGTGGCCAGCTGAACAAAATAGAACAAAAAACACACGCAAAAAAAAAGTTATATTAATACCGCTGGACTGGAAATTTTTACTTTCTTTGTTCATTTGCTTTTCTGCTACGGTAGAGGAACTTTTTTTTTCTTTCTGCTAGTTACTCATCGTCTTCATCGTTATTTATCAACATTTCCCCAAGCTGTTGGTCTGAAGGAGCTTGGAATTGTTGATATATCGAAGCTCCGAAAATTTATGTTTTCCCACTGGTATGTTCTCGTACAAAAGAAGGGACACTGAGGCAATATTGTGTCTTTTCATCAATGGCTAGGGCTTCGAGTGATTCTCGCCCGCGTTGGTCTCAATGTAGGCCGAGAATGAAGAGATCATACAGTCTTGCATCACATTTGCGTTCACGACAATGAGCTGCAAGGTGCCCTACTGCAGTTCATTTCCTTAAGGATGCAGCATGCTCTCGTATGTGGTCGTTGATACATCGGCCGGATTGGCCACTATAGCACTTGCCACATGCCAAGGATACGTTGCACACGACCTCGTTTTTGGCATTGAGCATATTTGTGTTGTGCTCTTTGTCACATTTTTTTTTCGTTGGTCCTTCTGTTCTCGTTTCTTTTTTGTGTCCTTTGGTCCTCGGACTTTTGTTTACATTGTTCCACATGGAATAGGCCTTCTTCCGCCCAGGCCATACAAATTAAACCTCTTGCCCGGCCTGCGATCATTTTTAACACTTGAGGACCTCCATAGAAATATGGCACCGAATACCGGTTGATAGTTGAGCGTGTTGGTATATCCTTGTAAATGGATCACCTTGAACTTTAGAATTGTCCTTGTACACGAAGAAAGGGAGAGGACACACAGCTGACTACCAACATTGTTTTAGTGTAAACTTCTTCCTTGCGTGTTTGTTTATTTATTCAGAGGTAAAAGTAGAGACCGAGAAACTTACTTCACCAACAAACCTATTGCCCTAATAAAGGTTACTGCTGATAATTATAATTATACAAATTTATATAAAAAAATTAGACAGAAATAGCTAAATCTATTTTTTTTAACTACCCGCCACAAGCTTGTGCTATTAATCGGGGCGTGATACTTCATATACTCCGTTCACCCCTAAGTTTAGACTAGGAGCTCCGCAGTTAGTGCGCGCTTTTTCCCCTTGCTAACATAAGTCTGAACGTCCAGGCACGCGCAACCGAAGCACTGCGGAAGTCAGCGAGCTCACGCTGAAGGCGGAGCTTCTTGTCTTGGCTTAGATGCGAACGGAGTATAGGTATTGCCTTTAATTTTGTGAACGGTGATGAATGAGGTACGGTTGATAGTGGAGCTTGTTGGTACATACTTGTATATATATTTCTCTATATCTTCCCCTGGTTCAAGCTGTCAAATATATATACAAGTATGTACCAACAAGCTCAACTATCAACCGTTACTCAGTTTCTTTCTAGTTATTTGAGCCCCTCCTTTCTACGCATTCAATCAATGGCCCCGCAGACTCTAAGCCATCTTATTGCCACCACCACGTGCCAAGGTAGGCTACTAGCACGTAGCATCAACAAGAATATCATCCTAGATGATGTAAGGCAAGTCTTCGGTCTTATAGCTCCGTCGGAGGGACATGCTATGCGAGTAAGCAAGATCCTCAGGTCAGAGACTTGGCGACAACAACGTCTTCTCACAGATTTTCTACGTGCCAAGTGTCCCCACTACAATGTTTTTATTAACCACCTGACTATCGCAAGGCATTCAACAGAGACCATGTGGACAACACAGTATCTCCCATATTTCAAGGAGCACCTGGCAAGGAAGGACAAGGAACATCCAAAAAGACAGGCCCCTCAAGTCATCGGAGATATCAGTATCTCAAATAAGGCGAGAAACATACTAGAACAAGGGCCGAAGTTTGCTCTACCACCACGGCTACAGCCCATTGACAAGGTTGCCTTGGTCAGAAACATCGCATCCAAGGCTCAAGATGAGAGCGCTTCAAGCATAATCAGTGAAGGGATTGACTGCATCGCAAGCCAAAGAAGCTCAGCAAAAGCAAATAGGAGCTTTGGTACCACAGTACATGAGCTAATCAGCAAAGATCTTAAGCTCTGTGTTTCTGATAAGGAAGGCGGATTTGTGGTCTTAGCTTCAGACGCATACGAAGAAAAAGCTTCTGCTGCAATGGCTAAGAACTTCATTCATGTGGAAGAAAAAAGAAGCAAGAAGTCTAAACCAG